TCTAAAAAATATCAGAACACTATCAATTTGTGTAATTTAACTATTTACCAAAGAGTTTGTTTGTTTTAAAGGTTTCGGCAAGGAGAAATGTTAATCTATCAAGCTCTCATTAGTTTCTTGATCCTTTGATCCGTATATTTATGCTGTATTCCCAACACAGCCAAAATATTCATGACCTTTCGTTTTTTGAGTTCAGACATCCTTAGTTGGCCTATATATAGGCATATATATAACATTATTGTCCGCTTTTGCCAGTTTATCGTCCTAAGCGGCTAAGCAGCGGGATGTCCGTTGCATCTGCATCCGCATATCGCGATGTATGTATATGCGATCGGAAGATCGTTCAGTTCGGGTTGGCGGTTAACCCTCGGATCGCTGACAATGAGCGATCAGCAGCTGGCCACGACTTCAACACCTTACCCACTTTTATGGCCCATCATCGGGGCACTCTTTCCGTATTCTTTCCGTATTATTTTCCCCACATTGTTGCCTTCTTGCTGCCGTTTTTTTATTGCCTGCCGGCGGAGGTGCATTTTGCATTTCACTTTAATTCAAAACGACTTAATTTCTTTTTCGGCTCGACGAGTGGGCACCCAGAACCCAAAGAGGTTCCCCACCACTTGGTCAGTTGCTGGGTTACAGCCTCTGTTGGTGCGAGAAATGCTTATAAATGCTCAATGGCGTAGCCGATTAATTGCACATAAAAATTAACAACAATCAGCCGAACGGCAACAATAAATATCGAACTTCAGTTGCCACAAACGCCTGAAAATATATGGGACTTAGAGGTGGTAAAATGAATCAAGATTCTCATATAATTAATAAGTTATAAAACAGAGCTCCATTTCCAAGTAAATTCATCAGTTTTTACCATTGAAAGTCTTTTGTCGATATGATTTTTGTTTTTGAGCAAGTAAAATTGTTCTTCAGGCAGTATTAAAGAATTGTTAGTCAGTTTGAAAATTTCGTAGTTTATTTTTTTGTAATAATAGATAAATACTTCAGCTTGGTCAGAGTTCTTATTGGATCACGTTGTCATCGCTACTGATCACACCTTGGCCATCGTTATATCGTTATCGCTCCACCGGACAATGTTGCACTTTGTATGGCTTAGGCCACAAAAATGCCCCAACTCCTCTTTTTTTCGTCGTTCGTTTTATGTGCACCAAATTGAGTCATAAAATACATTTTCACTTCGTCGCCAGTTTCGAGCCATCCAGCATTTAAGTGGTTGCATTTGGAAATGCTTTAAGCATATTTTTACGGCCAATGCAAATGTGGCAAATGTCGCCTGGCCCGTCGTTTAGCCAACTCGCTCTCCTAATTAAGAAGCCCATCCGCAGATAAGAGAAATATGCGAGAGGACCATTAGTTTATCTACAAATTGGACACGGAAATTTTAAAGATACCCAGTAGGTCGGAGCTGAGACATTTGTGTTTTGGCACGAGCTTAGGATATGGATGTAAATAAGATTATTAAATGTGCCGAAACCCAGTCCAAGAAGGCAAGTAAAAGGAAATAGCATTCCGCTGGTGATTTAGTAACTACTTTTATGGTAGTCCCCCTTCGAAAGGATTAGCTATTTCGTCCAGAATGAGGCCCCAAATCAAATCGCGATCGCAGCGAGGTGTTGATTAGTCGACCGGGTTAAGCTGAGCCATAAAAAGTGAATAAACCCTGAATCCGGACAGGTGTCAAAAGGGGGAGGACCGATCGAAGTCTCGAATCCCTCCCCTACTGCGGATCCTCGAAACCAAATCAAAAAACCTCAAATGAGTTTTTAGATGCCGGCAGGCAGTATAAAAAAAATTAAATAGCATCCATTTAGTGGGGGACCAGGGCGACTTCAGTTTTTAAAACGAGCGCCGCTTCGGAAAATGGAGGTGAGCAGGAGAGCGGGGCAGTCAACGAAATTGGAATCAGGGTTTATGTTTATCCTTCAGTTGTTATTGTTGCCTTTGTGGCTGGCATGCTGACCGATCTGGAGCAGCGATAAATCGCCGGGCGACAGGGGGTTAAGGGGCGGGAGAACACCTTTGTTGGCCACGTTGTTGACAAATCAGTTGGCAACAACGTTGGCCATCGACGGCACACGCGACCAACAAAAACAAGAGCCAAATAAAACAAGGCAAACACACTAAAAACAAGTTAACAAGCTGAAAAACGAAAGAGTTAATACCCTGTTTTTGTATGGAAATATTTTAATTTTATAATTAGATAATATTCAGTTTTAGATTAAAAGCTTAGCTGCGCTAGTTTCTATAGAGAATTCAGAAAAGTAATGTTTCGAATTGTGTATTTTTTTAAATGTAAAAGTACCAGTATGCAACAAACTAATATTTTGTTTGATCTTCTCGCCTTTTTGCTCCAATTTAAATCACCCCACAGCAAAGGGTATCAGGGGAATAAAAAGAGTAAGAACCGAGACAAGTCCGAGCATCTTGGCGGCTCTTGGTGGCGAGGCCTTGTTTCGGGGACCGATATTCGAGGCCCGGTCCAGCGAGAACCTTTGTCACCTCCGGACCCATTTACCCCCACGTTGCAAGATCGCTGGATCTTGAGGGTTCGGCGAGGGCAGCACATTAAAAGTAAATTAACTTATCAGCGACAACGATCAGTTATTTTATTACGTTTGTCCACGCAGTAACACGAACATTATAATATCAAAGATGCCGATTAAGATTCCACAGGCCCCGCAGTGTCCACGGAAACAGATCAGAGATCAGAGATGGAAATGGACGGACTTTGGGATCAGCTTGGACAGGAGTTGGATCTCGGTGCATGTGGGTTGCTCCAGCTGGTGGAGTTGGGTGAAGAGAAACGTATATACTACCTCCGGTAATTGCATTTACTCTTTTGAAACTTTCAAAATGGCTTCTTAATAAAGACGTGTTTTAATTTCTGCGGTATTCAGATGAGCTTCAAATACAGATCTCCAGCTTTAGATAAGGTTTTTCAACGACATTTGATCTCCAAGATGGAGGAATCTCCTGCGGATGTTTGCAGTGCAAACATAGTTACTCAATGAGTGGACATTAGACCAATTAAGGCGATACTCGGATAGAGAGATAGACGAATAGATATCCGAGAGATAGAAGGCTGCACATGGACAACTGTTAAGCAGTTCGCAGAAGCGACCGGAAAAACGCTGCCAACTGTCCAAGTTCGCTGGCAACTGTCCAGTAACTGAGGGAAAAAGGAGGTGTGGCATTGGGACAACTGCGCATTGCGGTTTCTGCATTCGTACATTTCTTTTTCATAATTTCTTACAGCTCCACTGGGAGAAACTAGTGCATTTAATTCCCTTTTCTCCGATGCTCACACATAACTTGTGGAAATTTATAGGCATACAAATATTTTCAAAGGGACAACTAGTAAAAATAAAGTGTTTGTATATGAAAGATGTTCTGTTGTAAAATTGCAAGTCATTCAAAGACTCTCTTAACTTTATTTTTTGCAGTGCTGCCATTGCTGCTCGAGTGCAATTATTTTAAGCATTCAATTGGCATTGGCAGTTCGAACTCGAATCGACCGCAGACCGCAGGATATGCGACTGGGCTGGCAATTATATGCATTTAAGTGCAATAACCGTCATCAGGACGAAGGACTCGGTTGACTTTTCCTCGCATTTGATGCTCCGGCAGACGCTAATTATTTTAATGCGCTCCGCAATTGAAGCGCGCGCTTGAGTCCGCTTTCCCCGCCCCCGCGCCCTAATTCCACCGCCACTAATGACCTTAGCAGGTCACCTGACCTTTTCCCCCTCCCGAGCTCTCCGCTCTCCGCTCTCCACTCTCCTTTCTTCGACCGGAATCAATATCAATCAAACGGAAACCGCCGCTCTCGACAAATTGCATTCGTTCATCCCGCTCCGCTTCCCTTCCTGCAATTAGTCCTCGGCTAACATGTGGCCACCGAAAAGGTGACCCGAACCGGGCTATTGGCGTGAAATTTTAATTGCCATCTTGTTGTCTGGGAGCGTGGAATCGAAGACTACTGACGCCCAGTTGTAGGAAGTTTACCTACTTTCGTACTTCCTTAATAGAAAACATAAAAATATTCTATAATTTAAATATAAATATATATATAATTTAAATTTAAAAAAAAATTTTTTTGGTAAAACCTGCATAAAATGGGCAAACATCATTTAATCTCACGGGAAAGAAATTTTCTTTCATGTTTTAAGCCCTAGAAAAAAATTTGCATACCAGCCTTTTAAAATTTGAGAAAATACATTTTTTTTGAAAATTTTGCGTCTCCCTTATTTTTTTCAAATTCCATTTTTATATTTTTTTGCACTTTTTTCTCCGAAAAACTTGCATAAAATTGCCAAAAATAGGTTTATTTCAACAAGGAAAGTATTTTCTTTCATGTTTCAAGTCCTAGAATAAAGTTGCATACCAGATTTATAAATTTCAGAAAATAAATTTTTTGGAAAATTTTTATGGGGGTCCCCCCAAATGGATTTTTTGGAAAATCGTTCAAACATTAAATGGTACAAAGTTTTAATAATTACATATTTTGATAATATTTTTATAACGCTTTTTACCTATTTTGGGATACTTTTGGAGTCCAGCAGCCCCATCACCCCCCACAGGTCCACCCACCTTCCTGCATCGCCATTTTGGGCCACTTTCAAGGCCCCGAAGAACTCGAGAGAGTAAATCCATAGCCATTTGACCGACATTTGGTGCTATAAACCTGGGGGAGACTGCAGTTCACCACTTCGTGGTGGATTCACCACACCGCCGGCAACATGGCGCTGCGTGAGAACGAGACTGGCGATGAGATGGCAACAGCGGAGAGCGAGAGGCAGCGATTCGGCGCTGCTAGCCATCCCTTTCATGCCTTCTGGGGTTAGCCGACCACCACCACCGCCTATGACAAAGTGGCAAAATTGTTGCCACTGCCGCCGCTCTCTGCCGCAGTCGACGTCGGCATCGGCGGCGGCAGCGTCGGCTGGGGCAGGTGCGTTTCATAAACGCTCAGTCTCGTTTTGGCAGCCAAGCCGCTCACGACGTCGCTGGGTGAAAAATAGAGATAAGGCCAAAAAATAATTGGGAAAACAAGAACACTTGAGAACTTAAAACCTTAAGAGTCCATTCATCAACGAAAAACTCCAGTGAATGTGAATTTTTTTAGTGAAGTGTTGAAAAAGTTGCAAGTTGAGCCAAGTGGGGAAGGAAAAGGCAAAATATTGGGAGCGTTGGGCTGGCTATGAAAGACTCGATGAGCATATTAACCCAAACGCCCAGCGAGCCGAACGCAGCGCATCCCCAGCTGCACCACCATCCGCTGCAGCACCACCACCACCATCACTACGGCCTGCAGCCACCGGCGGTGGTCAGCATTGGTAGCACCACCATGGCGTCCGGCGGCGGTAGCACCACCACAGCATCGGGCCTGAAGCCCAATCGATCCCGCTTCATGATCAACGACATTCTGGCGGGCAGTGCAGCGGCCGCGTTCTACAAACAGCAGCAGCAGCACCATCACCACCAGCAGCAGTTGCACCACCATAATAACAACAACAATTCGGGCTCCAGCGGTGGCAGCAGTCCCGCTCACAACAACAACAACAACAGCGAAAGCTTTGAGCCACCGGCAGGTGGTGTTGGCGCTGGCTTGCCACCCGCCTTGCACCACCCACAACCACATCCGCATTCGCATCCGCATCCGCACACGCTGATGCACCCGCACGGCAAGCTGGGGCACTTCCCACCCACCGCCGGCGGCAATGGGCTGAATGTGGCCCAATATGCGGCGGCCATGCAGCAGCATTATGCCGCTGCTGCCGCGGCGGCTGCTGCGCGAAATAATGCCGCTGCTGCGGCGGCTGCTGCGGCTGCCGCGGCTGCTGCAGTAGCCGGACCGCCGGGAGCGATTGGAGCCGGTGGCGCCGGCGGCGGCGGAGGCGGCGGAGTGTTGGCGCCATCGAGCGCCGGTGACTTGGACGACATCAGCGACTATCACGAGGAGAACGAGGACTGCGACAGCGATGAGGCGGGCAGCGCGGGAGGCGGTGGGGGAGGCAGCGCCCACATGGACGATCACAGCGTTTGTAGCAATGGTGAGGTGAGCCTCTGTACTATGCGGTGGGAAAGGGGGGACAGGGACTAGAAAATATATAAAAAATGGCACAATTTTGTCATTCGCCGATTTCAAACAGATCTTCGTCCTATAATCAAACAATCCAACTCAAAAAAAAAAAACTATAGAAAAAAAGTGTAGTTATTGGAGAAGTATTTTATCAAAATAGAGGTTTTCAAAAAGGTTTTCAATTCGCCATAATTTTAAACCGCTTTACATTCCTCCTTTAATTGTGTTAACTTTATAATTGCGTTGCAAAACGCATTTCCTCACAGCCAATTGAAAACCTAATTCAATTAAGTCGAGAAAAATAAGTAAGTCCGTTGAGTCCGCAGTCAAGTTCGTTGCCTAAGTCTTTTGTTTTGGAGCGTGCGCCTGCAGTGGCAAGGAAACGGTGGAAAGCAGTGGGGGTGGGGGCGGCCCTCGTCGATGTCGCTTTGCAAAACAAACTGTAAAAATTATTGCATGACCATTTTACATTCTCGTCTCGTTCTTGCTGCTTCCATTTGTTGTGGTTTTAGTTGTAAAAAAGCAGCATTTTCACGCTTTGTTTGCGTCATTGCAAAGCTCCCAAAGACCCCCTCTCTGCCCCTCAAACTTGGGGCCATGCACCTGCGTACCTGTGAGTTATCATGGCAGAATGGGGGGCGTGGCCTCCAAAGGGGGCAGGGGGAACGAGGCTCGGAGCTGCCTGGAACTGCAGCAAGCGAATGCAATTTAAAAACGGCCGCAGAAACAATCTCAAATAATTACACACATCTCACTCACTCACTGGCGGCCCCTTTGCCCCCGTTTTCCCTTCGGTTATCTCACGCACCTGCCACCTGCCCCCCGCGCAATCATTTAATTGTGGAAATTGTTATAAAAATGCATTTAACCCCCTTTAATAGACGCCCCATGGCAATGACAGCAGCAACAACAACAAAATGTTGCAGTCTGTTTGCTCATCTCAACGCCATTCGATACGTTTATACGTCGTCGTCTCCACTTTTGGCCAGGCTCCGCTCTTCACTCCATCTCGGCCCTGTTTTGTGCCATTTATTGCGGCAATTTCCTGTTGCCAATTGCACTTTTATAAACGGTAGTCGCGTCGGCCAGCTCCTTTGGGATGACAGCCAGCCAAGTGCATTGCCAGCGGGCAGGGAAGGCGGCAATCCGTCAGTTCATAGGAATTGCCATGAACTTAACTTGCAAACAGAAAAACGATTATCGACCACTGGAGTTTGGTTTGCGAATTACCAAGCGAGTTCTAGGAGAAGGAAAATTGACTTGGCTTCTTCAATTTATCAATTACTTAAAAATATATTTAACAACATGTTCGTCAAATTTCGTTAGCGTTTATTTATTGGTCTTTGCTTGTGGCCTTTTTAAAAATCGTACACAAATTATCGCCTGCGAATCGATAATTCACAATGTCGGCGCCAATATTCGTGAGTAATTTTCTTTAATTGAAAATTAATTTTATTCAATTGCGGCATTATCGCTCATTTATCGCTGCCATTAATCATTTATCGTTTTCGTTTTATATGGTAAACAACATTCGCCTTGGCGGCAGTATAAGCTCTTGATTAGCGATGATAAATATAAATAATTAAAGCTCCGTTTTTATTTGTTTCATAATATGATTTTCAATGTTAGAATGAACTACCAAAAAATCACCTAGAAATAATCTATACCGACTAAACTACCAATAATTATTTAAAGCTTTTCAATGGCTTTTGATCAATTTAAAACGTTTTTAAACATGTGTGTTTAAATACCAAAATGTTGTTGAATTTTTCGAGTTAACAATTCGCACTTCCCCCCTTTTTTCTAAGCCCATTCACTTCCACTTTGCATACCGAATTTAAGTGCTGTGCTTGGCAAATTTTCGCTTTAAATAATTTAACGCTTGAGAGTTTACCTAACCCCCTCTTGACCATGGCCGAAAAACTCGCTCTCGCTTATCGGATAACCACAATCGGTTGAATTTACATAAATTTTATGTACTAAATGGCCAGCCAGAAAAGGTGGAAGAGCGACGGCCAAGAACACTTCTGGCCAAAAGGGGTGATTCTGCCCGGCTGTCTCTCTTGCGCCTTTTTGTGGCAAGTTTAGACATTTTGCTGCGCGTTTTTATTACACTTACACACACAAACCGCTTTGTGAGCGGAAGCGGCGATTGCGTGGCTATAAACGAGCCCCTAACTGTAACTGCAACTGTTATAGAAGATCGCGCAGAGATCTGAATCGAATTACCCAGACTTTAGTCAATAGGCTTCCTAAAATCGCCATTAAAAGACGATCATTATTTTTGAGGAGCTTGGGGAAATATAGACACTACTTTGTTGAAGACTTCTCTTAGTTTCAGTAAAAACTGGTACACATTGTTAAGCCCATTCAAGAATGTTTCTTTTTGCAAGAACGTTAAAAAGGTCACGCAATCAATTTAAATGTGCTTTAATTAAGTGGAACAGCGGGGATTTTAGTACAATTTGTGTAGAATTAGAATATTAGTTAGCATTTGTCTAAGAAATATTTATTTTATGCATTTTTATAACAAGAATTTCGATCTATTTTCTTCCAGGCGGTAAGGACGATGATGGAAATAGTGTCAAGAGCGGTTCCACAAGCGACATGAGCGGTCTGAGCAAAAAGCAAAGAAAGGCACGTACCGCCTTCACGGACCACCAATTGCAAACTCTGGAGAAGTCCTTCGAGCGGCAGAAGTATCTCAGCGTCCAGGAGCGCCAGGAGCTGGCCCACAAATTGGATCTGAGCGACTGCCAGGTGAAGACTTGGTACCAGAATCGCAGGTGGGTGTCTGAACAATAAAACTTATATACAATCTTAATGCATAAAATATGTAAATACAAATGTTAAGTCTATATTTTATTGTTTATTATTCATTTAATGACTAATTGTTTTTTGTTTGTCCTTTGCAGAACCAAATGGAAGCGGCAGACCGCCGTGGGTCTGGAACTTTTGGCGGAGGCCGGAAACTTCGCTGCCTTCCAGCGGCTGTACGGCGGATCGCCCTACTTGGGCGCCTGGCCGTATGCGGCCGCTGCTGGCGCCGGCGCCGCTGCCGCTGCCGCCCATGGGGCCACGCCCCACACGAGCATCGATATCTATTACCGCCAAGCAGCCGCAGCCGCCGCCATGCAGAAGCCGCTGCCCTACAACCTGTACGCCGGCGTTCCCTCCGTGGGCGTTGGTGTGGGCGTGGGTCCGGCGCCCTTCTCCCACCTCTCCGCGTCCAGTTCGCTGTCCTCGCTGAGCAGTTACTACCAGAGCGCCGCTGCCGCCGCGGCCGCTGCGAATCCAGGTGGGCAGCATCCGGTGCCGCCGCCTCCGGCAGTCGGCGGTGGCTCGCCGCCGAGCGGTCTGGTGAAGCCCATACCGGCCCATTCCGCCCCCGCCTCCGCCTCCCCGCCGCCAAGGCCGCCGTCGACGCCCAGTCCGACGCTCAATCCGGGCAGTCCGCCGGGCCGCTCGGTTGACAGCTGCTCGCAGTCGGACGACGAGGACCAAATACAGGTGTGAGCGGTAGCGGTAGGCGGTATCGGTAACAAAGGACTCCGGCGATTGGGTGTGCGTGTGTCTATCATTGGGTTTATGCCTACTCAAAAACGTTAATTTCAAGGGATAAAATTAATGAGCAGATTTTAAATTTTGTTTGTTAATTATCACAACTACATATCAAGTTTAAATAATTTGCTTGAGTATTTTATTTTAAAACTTAAAACCCACTTATATGGCATTTACTTTAGGTTAAAGTGATCACAAATTGCTTTAGTCGTATACCATATCACCATCCTTTCATGGTTCTAACTTTAGTACAAAAACCTTTTATTAAATATGTGTTTATGAAGGAACTAAAAATAACAAAAAGTTGATAGATATAACTTCGTTGGATCAGCTATTGTATGTTAGGTTCTAGCACAAAAATGTTCAGTATTTAAAACACGATCATAGGAAATGCCAAGAGAAGTAGTACGTATTGCATTTCAAAAACACACTTTTCGAAACACAAGGTGCCCTAGAATTCGCGTATTTGAGTCTGCGCATAAACCCCGCTTTTCTGTGTGTGCCTGCGTGTGTATATAATCATATATCTGTGTCTCTGTGTGTGCGTGTGCTTAATTAATTTATTTGATTTGCTTTTAGTAACTTATTCAAAATGTTTTTTACAGTTTTTTTTTTATATAAAATAATGGAATAAAGCTAAACAATTATTTATTTAAATGTTGTAAAAACTAGCAGCCAAAAAAGCAAATAAAATTTTGTATAGTTAAGTCTAACCACGAAATGTATTATCTAAATGAAACCCATTTTTTTTTGGTAGCCCTAACTTATAAACGTTGTAACTGTAAAATGTAAAGTATATTTAACCGCATATTTTTTTGTCTAAATAAAAAACGTAAAGTACTATGAAAATAGAGCAATCGTTCTGTTGGCTTTCTCGTGGGAGGGGGTGTCCCTGGGCAATTAAGATAATGACCAACAGAAACAATTTACAAACGATGTGTGGGGAAGGGTGAGGGGTTGAGGGGTTGAGGGGGTGAAGGGTGGAGGGGGGGATATACGACGACGTGCGAGCCAACCCCTAATGATAATAATTGCATGCAAAATGCATTTAACCGCAATTAGTGCATTTATTAGGCCAAAAGCTGATATATTGAATAACTGCCACCGTTGGCCACCAGTTGGCCAAAAAGCAGGGGCGTCGGTCGTCGGTCGGCGGAATGGGAACGGTTTAGGCCATGTTCAGCATTGCGTGCTCGCATGCAAGCGGCGCTGCAGGCGAAGGCCCAGCAAACGATCCTTGAAGTCCGGCCAAGGACCAAGCGTAAGGACCCCGTCCAGCTGACCAAACGAATCGGAACCCATGGATTACAAGCGTTTTAAGGTGGAAAAATTCTAGACTGCCCTCCGATAGGTGAAAACCTACATGTAATTTTATTACGGAAATGCCTACAAAAATTTGATTTAGTTATTAGTAATTAAATTTAAAATTTATATTAAATAGTAACACAATCTTGTTATGGTCCTGCAAAGTATTAAGTCCAAGTTCTCCACACACAACTTTCTTTAGATAATCTGAATAAATATTAAACGGCAGCGGGGAGAATTTCAAGTACCTCTTTTTGTTTTGCAAAATATCTACAAACTGAATGCCACTTTCCTTAGCAGGGTATCCCAGGGTGGACCTTGTTTTAACCCTAATTCTCCGAGCTGCTTTTTTGTTGGCAGCACGCGTGTTCTGGGTTTTCTGTCCGGAGTTTCGAGTTTCTTGTGTTTTTGCGCCTTCATCGACAAATTGGCCGCAATGTTCAAATTGCTGTTGGGCTAAAACAAAAGGCAACGCTTGGCAGGACAATGAAATGACAACAACAACAACAACACGGCGATGGCGATGGCCAGCGGGCAACCGTTCATTAAAGACAAATGACACAAAACACAAAACAAAAACTGCACGTACCGCTCGCCCGCTCGCTCGGTCTCTTTCTCTCTGCTATCTCCGTCCCACTCAATTAAACACGACCGTTGTTTCAGTATCAGTTTACTCAGATGTTTACTAATTGTGGCCAGCAGTAAAAACAAAGCCATTCTAAAGTTGCATTGGAAAGTGGCAGAAAAAAGTTTTTATAGAAAGTATTAAAAATTGTAAGCAATATATGGAATCACTTTTTATAGATATTATTTTTGAATATGCTAGGAGACCTTTCCCCACCTTCCTTGGTTTTCTATATTTTTTTTAATTCGGCTGCTTCTCGTTTATAAAGTTCGAAAATACACACGAAATTGGCTGCGGATTCATGTATAAATTAAAGACACATCATCTGGCGTTTGATATGCAAACTCATGGAGTCCAAAGAGCTGGAAGGCAGCCGTTGGGGAATTGAGGATTGGCGGAGTCGACCCCGGACGCATTTATGAAATGAAGCAGAAATATTGCCTGCTTACTGTTCTGTAACCAATTTGCATGGAAATCAGGCGCCGACTGTCAAAGTACCTGCCACACATGGCCGCCATCCTCGTCGCATATAGACATCCAATTAGCCGCTCATTTTTGTGGGTGGACCAGTGTAACCAAACACCATCCTCTTCGGCATTTTCATCAGCAGCCACCACAATTCGCTTAAGCAGCCAATCAGAAGAACAGGGAGGATAAATCAAAAAGCCGTGGATATCACGCAAATTCCATCTTTAACAAGGGTTTAAAAGTATATTTTTATTTATTTTGTATCTTTACATTTCCTTTTAAAATAACAAATGTGTGTGTTAAATGTTTGAAATTGTTTTTGATTTTTTAAGCCTAGAATTGTATCGATTTTGTATAATTATTTCGCCACACATAGCTCGCTCTACCGATCCTTATTTTCTTTGAAAACTTGAAGTTCGCAGGATAAACACAGGGCAGAAAGTGGGGGCTGGACGAGCGGACCGGAACAACGCCCACGATTCGCGGATTTTCCCCCAAAAATTGCGAACGGATGTGGCCAACCCCACATTCCACCCACCACCCATTCACCTGCACTTTTCTACCTGCAATTTTCGTTCAGCGAAATGTGTAATTTACAAATAAAAGGGAAAATAAAATTAAAAGTTTATGCTCGCAGGAATGGGAAATCAACTTTGTTTGCATTTAATTTGCTCTCCTGTTTTTTACCTTTGATCCTTTTTTATTCGCATCGTGGTTTTTTTTCCCCGCTTTTTGTTGATTTCTGTGCGAGTGACACTGAACATATGCTATTAATAAGTGGCTTGTTGTTGCTGTTTGTTTAATTTAATACTGATTTTTTTCGATCCCGATTCTTGTAACAAATGGTTCGGGGGAGTTAATCTCCGTTCTGTATAATTTGTCACATTTTGCCATTGCTGCATTAACTATTTACACCCGCACACCCCGATATATGTGTATATATATAAATATACATAGATTGCACTTTAAATAATCATTTGACAGGGAACGGAAATTGCGCTTAATTGCCAGCAAGTTGGGTTTTTCATTTGATTTTTACCCTGTTTTATCTGTCGCTCTTTTTTATTCAACTCGTGTTCAGATAATTGCGCTTAAATAAATATTTGCCCGATAATTGCAAAATGTTTGTTATTCTCTTGGCCGCTTTGTTGAGATAATTGAACTTGGGCATCAAGTTTGCAGAACAAAGACAGCGAAAACCTGTGAATTAACCCCTGCAAGCTCGGACTTTATATACATTTTTTGTTGCTTAAATCGAGCACAACTAAGTCTTAACAAAAACCAAATTCGGAATTTATTAACCTTTTAAAGTTCCAAGTATAGTATTGGTACTTGGCAGTAGTTGAAGAAATATATAGATAATACTCTTAAGAAATATGTCCTAGATCAGAGCATTCGGCTGGCGGTTTTAGCCTTTTCCCATTTTGCGAAGCGCAGGAACGCCCAAAAGGCGGCATGCAAAATTTCCACGTGTTTGTTTTAGCTCCCTCGGCGTTGAGCTCTTCTGGCGGCGATTATATTCAATAATTGTGTGCATTTAGATAAGTTACAAGCCTTGAGGGCCGCAGACAACCGGCCCGGCCACTCTGGGCCACTTTCCCGGGCTTTTGGGCCAAATGCGAGCCAGTCACGCCATCCAAATGCAAGTCGGCCTGGGAGCCGCTGGTGTGTAGGTGTTGAAAGCGACTGCAAGCCAGGGAATCCGGGGAACACTGGCGATCCGGGGAGTACGGGGCCTTTCGGGGAATCCGGGGAATCGCCTGGCAAATTGGCCGGCGCAGAAATGTGTCGGAAGTCTTTAGTAAAAGTTAAATAGAAAGCATATAGAAGATTTATATGCCTTCGCCGACTGTAGTTATGCAAATTATTTGCAGACGGTTTCTTCAGATTAAAGACTTTGCAATAAATGTTGAATTTAATGCAATGGAAATATTTCTAAAAAAAAAACCACCTTACCGAACAATATTTTTCTTGTCCAAGAAACTGGAAGCAATTCATGTATTTGCGTTCAATGAAGTCACTTCAAGCTCTTAATAAAATGCAAACAATTAAAATGACAAAGTCTGTGACAAATATTAGCCATTTATCTCTGCGGTTACAAATTGAATAGCTTTCCGAGAGGTGTAACCTCCGCTGTCCTTTCTCGAGGCCATAAATCTCGGTTGCTTCCGGTGGTTCACACACCCGTGCCCGAAGGTCCTTTGCACTTCTAATGGCTTCGGCTTCTTTGGGCCGCTTTAAACTGCATGTCCTTGCGACGAAGTGCAGTGGGTGGATTCTCGCCCCGCCGCCAGGATTCTCCGCGGACTGTCATCGTCTTTGTCCATTTGGCAGCCGTTTCTTTGATTTATGTGCATTATCCTGGACACGTGTGCGCACAAATTGATCCTTTATGAGCATTTTGCGGTTAATAATGCAGCGGCACGTGCCGAACGGCCGAGCGTTGAGTGTAAATGATAAGCTCGTCCTTGAGTGGGCGGATGATGTGGGTGGGTGTGGGAGTGGGAGTGGTTGTTTATCGAGGTTGAACAAGAAGGAGGAGTGGAGTGAAAGGTCCTCGAGTTGGGGTTAAGTGTTAGTTTGTTTTCGTGACGATTCCGAGTGACTCGGAGTGCTTGACATGTGACACCTTTTGTGCGTCCTGCGCTCTCTGTTAGTTTTTCCTTTTCCGATTTTAAAGCGCTTAGTGCCCGGAATAAATCCCAAATGCCACTTCACACTTAATTTGCTCATAATGCCCGACGTAATCCCTTGACTGTCCCGCAGGACAACCCCCGGCTGCCCTCAGCTAATATCCTGCCAATTACGCTGGCAACAACAATATTTTCCATGCCATTTTCCACCACCACTGGAATCGCAGCGGAATCGAAATCACTCACCACCGAAAAACAGTAGCGCAGTTTTTAGAGATTTCACCGTACAGAAACAGAGTGAGGATCGGATCAGATGGGTTGGATCTTATCACTTCGGGGTCCGCTCACATATGCCGGGCCTAATGTGACAAATTCATCGAGTCCTCGCTGGTCCTTCGATGTCCTTTTCCAGCACCGCTGATAAGCGCCAAATCCCCGTTTGTATACATTTTTTTTTGCCGCATTTTAATCCTTCGAAGCATTGACAAATTGAGATGGCTGGCCGCCGATAGAAAGTGGCAACAAATGTTTTAATTTGGAATTCTTCCTCGTCGCAGGATTAGTTTAGCAGCGGCGCAAAAGGACACGAGCAGTTGTTCAGCTGTGAAAACCGTTTGTCAGCCAATCTGATCGCTTAAATATGATCTCAAACTTGGAATATTATTCGATTAGAATCAGTTACAAAAGATCGTTAAAAATACTTTTAAAGTTTGCTTAGAAATATATTTAACGGTCTCGTGTGGTTAACTTTAATATTAAGGAAAATGGTTTCCATTTAATATTGCAAGTTCACTCCCCGCTTTATAATTTTATTTTACGTATCCTTCACCTTTATCTTTCACTTACTCAGTATCGCCAATTCGAATTAATTGAGTTCACAAGGCCGAACTTACAGATACGCCTAATGCTGCTGCCTTTTAATATTTTATTTCAATCCTGCTTTCCTTTTTTTGTGCCTTTGCCATTTTATGGCAATTCCCAATTTGCAATTATCAGGCAGCGCGATTGCGTGCCACAAATGACAAGCTCTTATGAATTCGCGAGACGTTGCCCTGGAATTATGATTTCATATGGCGGGGCAGCCTTGACTGTGGGAAGCCCTTGAAAGGATCGCTGGCTCCCTTGTGGAAGCACCCACACTGGACAGGAAGCCAGGAGGAGGATGAACTCGAACTCGAACTCGAATTATGCCCATCGACCGACCACATCCTAACCAATTATGGTCATTAAATTGGCATTTGAAATGCTGAAAGGCGGCAAGACGGCAAGACGGGCAAAGGAATACCAATACTATTTAATTCTGATTCAATTCTCTGGCAGCGGTCAGCGAAGCAGAATGCCACCCGTACGGTGAACAACTGTCATAAAAATCACGCAGCGGAAATTATTTTGTCACCATTTATAATTGCATTGTCACAGCGCCAGTCAATAGTGCTCTGCGTCGCTCTTATTATTGTGATTGGGGGGTGTTGAAAGTAACACCCCGCACATTAAATCAAGTGCCACCACCACCACCACCACTACCACCACCACCCCCGCCAGGCCAAAAGCAAACCGAAGCATAACCCAACCAAACCACCCATCCATCGTCATACATAAATTATTGAAAAATCATTCTACAAATAAACCCAGCGGAGCCAACAAGGACTCGCCAGACAAGTAAATAAAAGCCACCACCTTTTGGGCCACGGGCAGGAAAAAGGACACGCTCTGACTGTGTTGATTGCTTTGACAAGACCGCAAATAAAGCAGTAAATAACTGAGCTGCCAAGTGGGTGGATTGGGTGGACTTTCGGTGACATCGGACCCGGTTACATTGCGCATACGCCGCGTGGCCGACGAAAGGGGCAGCAGGAACAGTAGATCCCGGAGCAGATTCTTTTGGGAATCTACAAGAATGCACAGCTAGCTGCAGCTAAACAAAGGCTAATGAAATTTAACAAGGGGATTTGTGTTAAAATTATTGTTGATTTTTTTAAGATATATTCAATACTAAATACGGAATGTAAGAATGTAGCAAATGAATGTTATTCTATATGGATCTGGCTCCACTGTGCTCGAATGTCCTCGCCACAGGCAAATCCAATTAATTTCATAGCGCCTAAAAACTTTAAGCGCAAGCGTCGAAGCAGAGCTAACGCAGCCTCCTTCTGGCCCCCAAGCACCCCCCACCCCTTCCACCTTCCCAGCCAACCCCCTCTCCACCTCACGTTTTGGTCACCCCACCCCTGCCAAGCCCAACCCAGCCCAATGGAAAGTGCGATGGATTCGTGGGTCGTCAGCTTCCGTTTCCGTTTGAACGAGTGCCCGTCTATTTATTTGCAAATGCAACTTGTCCAATTTGACAGTTGTCGCTTGCGAATGTCAGCCAGTAAATCCCAATTTCAAATTCCCTCCCTTCACTGAAGCGGAAAGTGTGAAGGCCTGTAACGAGGCATATTGCGATTGGATTTGTGTAAATTTATTTATGTTAATTAGTTTCAATTTGATTTAATTTGCCCGGCAAGGCGAGCCGAAAGTTCGACGGCGAGAGGGGAAAGCGGGGGGAAACGGGGGTTAGTTGGCAATTAAAAGCACGTTAAAAACGCATTTAGCAAGCCATACGAAGCCATTTGAGGGGTGGCTGTGTAGATCTTGGGACCCGTTTAGGCCGAAAACGAAATCGGCTAATGACAGCCGCATCAATCCGCTGCGCTAACAAAGCGTTGAAGAAATCACTTTACCAGCGGCGTCCCATAAAACGCAGATCCGCCGCTGAGAAATGGGGCCCCGAAAAGGATCCGAAAGATCTGAGCGATCTGAGTGATCTGAGTCGTCGGTGGATCGTGGATCCCCAAAAGATACCGATCCAGAGCCAAGCCGAAATGACAACGAGACATGCGAGCAAATGAAATCAAATCAAACCAAATGACTCGGGACCCGCGAGCCCGACTCCTTCGACGAAAACTCTAATTTGTTGATAATTTGCGACCGCAGCTGAGAGTCTTGGATGCTAACTTCGAGTATATATCAGAGGTCCGCTGACCGCCAACGATGCCCCACGGGTAACTCTCCGGATCAGGATGGCAGTAAGGCTATAGTGCGCTATAGTCGCGATGCTCTGGCCGATCGGCCGGCGGCTGGGCAAACTCGCCAAGCGGTACTTCCGCTGCTTGGCCAAAATATCCCCGAACTAAAAAGTACAGACGGCAATGCACCCAGCAAACAAAATAGCAAATAAGTGTGCAGATCATTAAAAGACAGATACTTAACAAAATTAAAAAAAAATTGAAATATTTTAGAGTAAGTTTTTACCCAAACAAACTACTTTAAAAACAAAATATTCCCCTTACAAATGTTTTCCCAAGGTAGCAATCAGATCGAGAAGTGGCTAAAAAGCCAGAAAAAGACGAGGGCTGGTGCTGCTTGGATTTATGGCGCACAGCGCCAACTGCCAATTTAAAGACAATTTGGCCAAGAGGCGCGATTTCAACTAAATTGCAACACAAATGCAAACAATTAGGGACTTCTTTTCGACGCAGCGGTGCAGTTGCAGCGGTTGGAGACGCCCCACTGGAAGGTCACCAGGCGAACGGCATCCCAGAAATGACAGATGATCTTTGAGTACCCTCGAAATATCGCCCCAGTTGAGCGTCGAAATTAATTTGTTTTTAACGCGAGGCGACGATGGGTAAAAATGGGAATAAGATTATTTGGCTTACGGGTTGTTGGCTCAAAATGCGTAGAACAGGAGCAGAAATTAATTTTATGGGCTAAGAAGTTCTGGGCTTTGGTTCTTTTTTTAGTAATTTCATCACAAAAATTAAATCAAATTAAAATTAAAAAAATTCCTAATGATAACTAATGTATTCTTGTTTTATAACCCTATTTTAGGTCATGGCTGTGGAGATAAACAGACAGAAGGCCTGCTGCGAACTGGCCTCCCAACTACTCCGGGAAATCCACATGGCATCAGCCTAGATAGCAAATGGGGACACAGTATTAGATTCTAAATTTAAGAAGATTTATCACATAAAAATCGTTGACCAAGTTGAGAAGTTATGGATTCGAGTAATTTCTACATCAAAAAAGAAGAAAGGGGTTTTCACATTTATTTCAGAAAAGTAAGTCCAAGCCCACCAAAATCAAACAGCCAACATCTGTTGGTAATCCCGGCAGGCATTCGATTGATTTAAGCCCAGTGTTCGCATGTGTGATTAGGACCGATCTAATTGGATCAGTTCCTGCCGCCAGGATTTGGGGGAGGGGGAAAGTGGCTTTTCACCACCCGCTCGGCCAGCAAAGGGTTGGCCGTGGAAAATTGCTAATGTGATTGCACTAATGGCTCGAATTATAGACGCATTAGGGTAAATTAAAATCCTCCACTCGATTGGAAGGCTGCGTCCATGGGGGTGGTAATAAAGTTGTAGTGGCGTACTAACAATGCCCTCTGTCGGTTGGTCAGGTGCAAGTGTTGCATGTTTTTTTCCCCCTTCCTCTATTCTTCCAGCTCCCTTTACTGAAATAATGATTGTGGGGTTGCGTTTGGGGGAAACTTCCCGTCAACGAGTACGACCCAAAACAGCTGTCAGTATTTTTTGCCACCCAAAAAAAAGGTAGAACCCTCTCTAATGCGACCCCCGGCGTTGACAACTGGGTGGAGCCGAAAACAAGGGGGTACTTCCATGGATTCTTTGGGTTGGGGGTTTGCCCCCTGCTAAGTGGCAATTATTCGTGCTAGTTGTGTGTTTGGTTACCCCAAAGTATGGGTTACGTTACGCGATTGGTTAGCGTTAAGTGGACGCCAATCGCAATTGATCAGAGTAAAGCATTATTCGAAACTGGATGTTGCCCCGTTGGCATTTTAATTTAAACTTAAGGACTTGTGTGGTTATTCAAAATTTAACAGCACAAGAACCAGATTAACCAACAAAATGGTCTTTTGAATATTTGATATTTTGTTGTTTAAAAAAACAAAGGCATATATTATTTTAAAAAACAAGTAGTTTATATATTCCCCGTAAGTTTTATATGTATTCTTTATTAACAGATCAAAACCTATTTTCCAGCCGTTCCCTTCGTCGCAAACCCAAACTTCTTGCCGGAAACACCTGACCACAAGTCTCCACCCAAGAACAGCCCCATTTTCCGTTGCAAACGCAACCCAACCCACCGAAGTGCGGGGGTTCCTTTTAATGGACGCATTTATACCAAAATATTATTTCATATGTTGACACTCGCACGTAATTAGGAATCGAGTGCGGTTCGATGGTTCATGGTTGATTGACTTTGACTTTGAGTGACATATCGACGTGGGCGTGGGCCAGTGGCCTAATTAAAAATCAATCGTTGAGCGGTTAATTAGGGGCCTTTTATTCCCCATCGAACAGCCGCAATTATGGTCTATAATACCTACGCCTCCGCAACTGCGTTTTGGCCACGTGTCGTCCTGGCCACGGCAAAAAAAAAAAAAAAAAAAAAGAGAGAGAGAGCAAAGCGTTTGAACAGTGTTTATATGTATCCGATATTTATTTATGCCTTGTCCAACCAATTATGCGCTTCGGTTGCATAAAAAGCCAACACGTGCCGACCTCTGACCCCTCGCCGTCGTTTCATTGACATTTTCAAAACTGAATGAATCTGCAGTGAGCGGAAAATGGATTTCTAATATTTTCCACACAAAAAATGAACGAACATATTACGGCAAGTAATCGAAAAACAGGAAAAAAAAATAGGAAAAACAGTAGAAAAAAGTTAAAAGGAAGCTTAAAATATGCTGGCAGGCGGCCACAACTTTTCCCGCAGGACGTCCGGGCTTAAAAGTTGAGAAAAATGAAACTTTTATGAGCGCAGCTCCTTGGATTTTCTTATATTCTACTCGAACATATATATACATATACAGATATAGATAGATAATATATATGGAGCAATTTGCTTTTCGATTAAACGCCTGAGCAGGCACAGCGGGCAGGCAAAATGGCGCGCATAATGTGCCGCAAAGTGCTCTGAACTCCGTCCGGGCCGCAGTGCCCCCACTGGACCACTTACTCCTCCGGGTCCCTCCCATCTTTTTCCCTCTCGAGGGGTAGGAGGAGGGCTCCTACTTCTTCTTGCTCCGCTTGGCGGGCCCCGCCGGCGGCAGTCCGCTATCCATCTCGGACATATTCAGGGCTCTCGATTTGTTCATGCTCTTCAGGAAGCTGCTGCGACCCACTCCGCCTCCTGAGCCACCAAATCCGCCAGATCCCCCAGATCCGCCGGATCCTTGGGGTCCCGGCTTGCGGCGGTCGACCACAGGAGATCCTCCATTCTGCTGCTGCACCTGGCGCACCTGCCCGCTCACCGTGGTCGTATATCGGCGCTTCTCGCGCTTCTGGGCCTGCATCTTATCGGGATCTCTGCAAGAAGGGTTAACCATTAGAGTTAATTTGGAATACAAAAACATATATCTAGAAAAGTTATAAATAAAGGAAATATAAAAACTATAATTTTTATGCATACCTCTCCGTGTAGGTCAGTCTGTTGGTGGGCGGGGCCGCTTTGGGGGCGGCGTGCTGGGCCGCGAACTTGGTGGGCGCCTCCTTGAGGGCAAAGCTCTTGGCAAAGTGCCCCATGTGGGCGACGCGAACGTTGAAGATGGGCTTCAGCTCCTTGGGAAATGTCGTGTAGAACTTCGTCCAGGACACAAAGGCTGCAGAAGGAAGGAAGGGGAAAAGCGGAGATGTTAATGCCTTTGGAATTAATTGATGTCTTGGCTTAAGTGCCGCCCGTATGTATATGTGTGTCTGGATGTGTGTGTGAGCCGCATTCATTACAAAATAAATTTGTTAAAATGACAAATGAGCAGTGTCAGCAAAGGATTTCACATCCACAATAGAGCCGTGGCATTGTGTGCTCGGGGTTATCCTCCGCCACTGAACATTGTACTCGGTACACGTATGTATATGCGATTGTGGCTGGCTGTTGTGGGCATGTCCTTGCTAATTACGCAGCACTTATGCCAGGCAATTCCAAATTATACAACAATGATATCAAATTACCAACGAACGAACAGCCACTCAGGACCGCAATTGTTACCCCGATAAGCATCTCGTGGCAAGAGTGAGATATGTAAATGTGATGTGAAATGAAAAATGCAATGCAAATGCTCAGGGAACGCCACTTTTCAAACAAAACCAGACAGATGCGAGTGAGAGTCATCGGGGGGAGACGTATCCTTTCTAAGGACAGAGTAGAGGAGGATTTGACTAGAGTAATGAGTATCCGCGAAACTTGATGAAAAACTCTTTTAAACAAGTTAAGCTATATTTAAAAGCTTCTTTCTTAAAATAAAGTATATATTTGTAAATATTATTTCTGATATTTACCATAAATTTTAAACCATTATATTTTTTACGTAATTTCAGAATTTATTATTAAAAGAAGCCAAATTATAAAGTTTACATCAATGGTCTCCCAACTATCTACGAATGTATTATTCATCACCGAGAAGCCACTAAATTAGCTTTAATAAACTAGTCGCCCTTCCGTTCCCAGGACCTTGTAATTGACTACCGAAGAACCGCAGATTCCGGCCACACACACCGAGACCTCCAGCCCCAGGACAACGCCAGGATAACTCCGAAATGAAGTTCAGAGCCCCGGCAGCGAAAACAGGAAGCAATCGAGGAGGAGGAGTTGGTGGAGGAGTGCCAGGCCGAGCCGAGATGGATGCAAAGACGTTCCTGCCCCGGCAATTAACTCGCAGCAGTCCTTTCTGCATCCCGCACTCGAGTGTCCTTTTTTGGGAGTCATGAGGATGGAGGAACGAACGAACCAAAGTCTCGAAGTCAATCCCTGGGCTTTCTGGTTCTGGCTTAATTGCCGCAAATGCGATTACGGCCAAGTGGCAGACATTAGGCAAACAAAAAGTATGACGGCAGCGGATGTTTAGAGACGTCTGCCAGCCGGAAGTGGCGAATAAAATAAATGTCATTCGTGTGCCGGCAGTGGAGAAAGAGAGAACGGAGAACGGCGAACGGAGAAATGTGAAATCCACCGCAGAAGCCGCACAAAATGGCTTTTTATGCCATTGTCTTGGTGGTTTTGTTTGAGTTGCCAACATTCCGGGGGAGTGGGCGACTTACCCCGGGTGGTTTTTCCTCAGCGCGTGTCCATGCGGTTGGCGTAGGCGTGGCAAATTGTTGTGATTGTTTTTTCAGTCCACCCATTATGCTCGAACCCATCCCCAGCCCACTCCCAATCCCCGGCGATGTGTTCTCCCCGGGATTTGCTCACTTGATACCCAGCGTATAGCTAATCGGGGGTGTCGCCCAAAATGCGGGGGGCTTATGGCTCATTCGTGAAAGGGCATTAACAGAACTCTTTTTGCCAAACAATGGCCAGGATAAGCCCGAGAAAATATAGCATTGAATATGCCTATAATGATTGTAAGTCAAAAGGGAACTATGAGAATCTGAGTGGATGTCGGCGGATTATCCTGCTTTTAGAAACAGATGTTTTCGAACGAGGGAGATGTATCAACAAATTCATAGGCACTTTTCGAGTTTAGTGAATTGGGATTAATTATTTCGGAATTATACTATTTAAACTAAAATATAAAAATCTGATTTACTGAAAAGAGGATTAAAAGATGCTTTTAATATTTGAGAAAAAGGAAACTTTTTTTTATATGAACTCTTGATTTTCGCTTTGCTTCTTTATCGTGCAACCCTGAAACGCACTGTATCACGAACTACTGAAACTTTCAGAAGCCGCCTGAAGACAAAAGTGAATTCCGAGTTGAAAATTGTTTCAATTACCGATGCAATGGCAAGTCGCAGCATTCGCCATCCCTTTCTGGCTTTCTGGCTGCTCTTGGCTTTTATCTGCTGCTTTGTACAGTTTTGTTCAAGCGTAATACTTTTTAATGGCTTTTTGATTGGACGCAGCAGAGCAGCAGCAGTAGAAAACTGCATCCTCCTCCTGGATTCCTATCCTCCATCCTCTATCCTTTCCTCTCCATTCTATTCCTTTTTGTTTTGTTTGTTTGTTTTTCCATCGGCTCCCCGTTTGAGTCTGCCGTCTCTTTCTATCTATCTCGTCTTGGTTATAGCCATCTCTTTTGGACATTTTGCCATTTTTGGCTCTGGATCTGGATCTGCTCTTAAGTTTTGCCAAGTGGCTTCCTGTCTTGACGCTTGACTCGGCGCTTAAGTGCAATTTGCGTTGCCATTTTGACCGACTCTCCACCTCCGCCTCCGCCTCCGCCTCCGCCTCCGACTCCTACTCCGACTCGATTCCTTTATCCTTTATTTATCTTGCTGTTTTGCCATTGTTTTGCGATACTTCGCTCAGTTTCCGTTTCCTGTTTCGAGTCGCCATCAGCCATCAAAAAAGGAGTCCCCACTCGCACACACACACACATATACACGCCCACAGTCTGCTGCTCCTTTCGGGTGATTTTTCTCCCCATTTATGATTCATTTTTGGAGTGCCGCTTTTCGATTAGAATCGTTTCCACTTGCCTGCCGCTCCTTTATGTACTTTATGTTTCAATCGCAAGAAAATGGGGAAAAACATCGTCTGGATTTCCTCAACCCTTCGAACGCGCCTTGGTAACATCTAATTAACTTTTTTTCTAGCCCTTCCAACGCTCCAATTACAATTTCAGCAGGATAGTAGGATAGGTGAAAGCGGACAGACGAGGATACACCTCGTAACAGGATTTTAACATGAACGATATTCAACTTATACGTAGCTAAGTCCTTATTGATTGGCACGTAAAAGAAAAAGAAACTCATCACAGAAATGTCTGAGGAATAATGACGATATGTTTGTATTGTAGCAAACAATGTTTCCACAATAATTTTTTTTAATAAGTTTAGATCTTATTCAAAGTTCAAAGCGTTCCCCGAAAACGAACATACCCTCTGTTTGTTTTTTTCGGGGTATACTACCCATCCCCATTTTGAAAAGCAAATAAAATAAAATGTAGAAATAAGTGAAGGCAGAAAAAAGGATCAGGCGATGAAAGAACTCGTTGGTGGTCACTTGCCTTGTGGGTGGTGGTTGGTAATGGTGGGGGATTCATTTGACACGCAATCGAAATTAACTTCAAATATGAAATAATTTTCGTGTTTTTAACGCGCGTCGCCCCGTGGATGATAACTGGACTTTGAGGGCGGCAAAAAGAGCGGGGGCGTGGCGCGTACTTCCAACTTATAATTGGAAAAATAGCCGAGCATTTCTGTTCTTTTTTTTTTTTTTGTTCTTGTTTTCCGCATTCACCGGAGTGTTGTAAAAAAACGTAATTACAAAGTTAATGTTCTTTGGTGAAAGGATTAAATTGCTAGTTTGTCCAGGGATCAGAGTTGGGGCGATTGGAAAAGTAAGTGTCATGGGAACTGGGTCCAATTGCACGGTACAACCGAGGGTTCCAAAACTCTGTCTGCATTTTTTTACGATAAATGGAAAAGGGTTTCTGTGGTAATCATACGGTTAAATGGTATTGATGGAGGAATTTTACCTACAGGTAAAAAAATAAGTTCAACCCGTTGAAACTAAAAGAGTTTTAAATGCATTTCCCCATTCAAATTCAAATTCAATTCTTGCGACTTTGATTGATTCAAAATATTAATCACTTAATTGCTGTAGAAGGAACTCACCTTTGCAGGACTTGTCGTGCAGCTCACGATCGTCTTCCAGGAGCGACTGGAACTTGTGCTGCAAGTTGGAGGCCGCCTCCTGCACGGTCCTGGCCTCGTCGTCCTTGGGCAGCAGGGTCTGCAGGTAGGAGTACATGTCCCCCTGCTGGATGCGAATGCGCTTCTTCTCCAAGTGGCGCACATACTGCGCCTCGCTGGGTGCCAAAAAGAGCACCGCTCGTCCCCGTCGACCGGCCCTCGCTGTGCGGCCAACGCGGTGGACAAAATCGGCGGTGGTTTGCGGTGGTGTGTACTGAACCACCAGCTTGGTGTCGGGCACATCGATGCCGCGACCCACGACATCGGTGGCCAGCAGAACGCAGCTGGGGCAATCGCGGAAGGCACGAAAGACGCCCTGTCGCTCCGTCTGGGTCATGGAGCCATGCAATCTGCGGGCACGTACATACGATTAGATGTTAAGGTTTACAGAAAACAGAAAGCAAACTCACTTGAAGAAACGCAGACCCTGCAGCAGTGGAGGATCTCCCTCTTCTTGGGAATCCTCTTCCTGGTTTTCATCCTCCTCGTCAAGAACTCTCTTGGTCAACGCCTCGTTCAGCATGTCGTGATGGAAGTTCACCATCTCCGTGGTGCTCATGAAGATGATCGCCTTGAACTGCTTGGGACTGGAGTCCATTTCCTTGGCCAGCAGCGAGGACAAGACGACCAGCCGCAGCTTGGGCGGCACAACCAGAAAGCTGAGCTGCAGATTGTCGGGGATACTCAGCACACCGGTGACGTCCTCCTGGTATTCACCCAACCCATCGTCAACCGCCATCAGCGTTTCGATGGTCTCCTTTTGATAGCCGTCCTTGGACTTCAGCGCGGCACTCGCCGCCTCATCGCTGTTGTCGATGTAGAGGGGATTCTGGAGCGTTAGACCCGCCAGTTCCTTGACCTGCGAGGTCAGCGTGGCACTCAGCAGCAGCCTCTGCAGCTTCGGCTGATTCTTGTCCTCGCACTCCGCCCGCTGCTTGTCAATGGCCTCCACCAAGGTCTTCACGTCGCGCTCGTAACCGAGCTCCAGCAGGCGATCGGCCTCGTCGAGGATCAGGAACTGCAGCTTGTTCAGCTTGAAGGCGGTCGTGTGCAGCAGATGATCCACCAGACGACCGGGTGTGCCGATCAGCAAGTTGATGCCCTTCCTAATCCTACCCTTCTCGGATTTTCGGTTCTCGCCACCAAGCAAGGCACCCGGAACAATCCAGGTGTAGGGTCTGACCAGCTTCTGCACGAGCTCGTATGTTTGCACGACCAGCTCTCTGGTGGGCACGATCACCAGGGCCAAGATGCCATCCTGTCGCTTAATTTTGGGCAGCTGCTTCTGCAGCAGTTCCACGAGAGGAAGAGCATAGGCCAGGGTCTTTCCCGAGCCCGTTTGGGAACGCACCAGCACGTCTTTGCCCAGGAGAACCTCGGGTATGGTTTTCTGTTGCACGGTGGTCAGCTCCTTGATGCCCAGCAGATCCTCCAGGTTCTTTACGGCATGCGGATGGAGGCCCAGGGTGGATATCTTCGTGCCCGTAAATATGGTCTCCTTCACGGGCTTCACAGCTCGTTGTCCCAGTTCCTTGAGTGCCTCGACATCGCTCTGATCGAAGAGGCCGACCTTCTTGGTGCGAACTCGCTTGCTTTCTTCCGGCTTGGGTTTCGATTGGGTTTCCGACGGCTTCTTGCCGGTCTCCTGAGTTGGCTGGGCTACTCCTGCATTCGAGCTTAGGTTGCCATCTTCCATGGGCAAATCTTTTGTAGATTCTTTCACCGACTCCTGATCATCTTCACTGCTTTTTTCATCTTCTCCAGCCTCTTCGCGCATCTTTTGTTTGCGCTCCTCCTCCATTTGAGCACGGAAAATGTCGCCCGCCCTTGGCAATTGGTTGGGATTCACCGGCTTTAGTTGAGATTTCAATGCACGCGATAGCTGCTCATCGCTGAGCTTCGTCATGGGTTTTCCCTTCGCCTTGTTCACGCCCAATCTTTCAGCCCTCGTCACCTTTTTCTTTGCTTCCACTGCAACTACAGGCTTTGTAGTCACATTAAGGATTAAATCCCCGCTTAAAAGGCTTTCGGCAGCCTCCTTTGCGGTGCTGAAATTGAAAATGAAATCCCCGGGGGGTGAAGGTGCATTAGGAACGACTTCTGATGGAATTTGGTTTGGGCTTTGGTGTGTTTTCAACACCCGCTTTGGCTGTTCACTGCTGGGGCTCTTCTTGGGCGTCTTTTCTTCTCGTTTCTTAACCAATCCCTCTGTATTTGCCTTTTTTAGCTCGACCACGGCCGGTTTTGGTGTGGTTACATTGAACACAATATCTTCGGAAGGTATATTTGCATTGCGAGCACCTGGCGATGGCATCTGATCGGGATCTTTCTCGGTTTTTATCATCCGCTTTGGCTTTGCATTGCTGACATTCGTCTTGGGCATCTTCTGTCCCTCTGTCTCAACCGATGGCTCAGTTTTGGGAGTTTTTAGCACCCGCTTTGGCTTTGCATTGCTGACGTTCGTCTTGGGCATCTTCTGTCCCTCTGTCTTAACCGATGGCTCAGTTTTGGGTGTTTTAAGCACGAAGTTTTGGGTGACCACACGTGGGCTTGGATGGCCGACTTGGGTTATAGGTCCTCTGGATGACGTAGATGCTGGAGGACTGCTTGTGGTTGGCACTCGATTGGAACTCTGCTCCTGTCTTCCCAGCAATCCCTGGACTTCAGCTCTGGTCGAAGGCGAAATCGGAGAGCTATTGAAAGAGTTAGACGAAGTAATCGACGGCTCATCGCGGCGAAGGCGATACAATGGAGGTCTTGCAGTCGGAAGAATATTCCGAAAACTATCGAGATAAGTGGCACTGGAAGTCAATGGAGACGAAGGTGCCTTCGGGATAGGCTTCTTGTCCTTAACTTTAGAATTACGGTTTCCCATTTTCGTCGAATCTGCTTTTCTTCGCACAACAATTGCTTTTGCTTTTGGTTTTTCTGAATCGAATTGAAAGTCGAATTCTTCCGTTTTTTTCACACGTTTTTTTACCGTTTGCGCTGGCTTTTGCTAAGGTATGAATAAAATTCGTTAACACAATTTGTAAAACGTCAAGTTATTACCTACTTGTCTTCTTTTCTGGCCAGCTTGCTTTGATGTGACATTCAGCGTCAAGTTTTCCCCCATTTTTGTCGTTTCTGGTGTAAAATTCCAAGTTGGCGGTGGAAATTTTTTATAAACAAAATAAAACGTGCGCTTCTCTTCTTCTTGTTTTTAGGCAGTCACCTCGAAACACATACACACAGCTGGGCATTGGCCAGTGCTACCCATGAGCATTCCACGGAGTTGCCAGATAGTTTGGAAAATGTGATTGAGCGCGAAATTTGAATTAAATTGCTTTTACTGCTGGCAAACAAACACACTGGAGAAAACAATCTCCGCTGCGTTTTTAATATTGTATATTAATATATTTTATATTTTGGCAAATTCAGTAACATGTTTTGTATTTAAAGTAACTTTCTCTAAGTATATAATATATATATATGCTTACAACAAGTTTCGTAGGTGACACCGAAAAAAAAAACGTTAAACGCATTCATCGCTGCCTTGGGCAGCGAAGTGGGTTTCATAGCAATTGTGGTTGTGGTGGGTGGTTGGGTGGTTGAGTTGAGGGTGGAATGGGTGTGGTTCTGCGGCCTTGTGGGTGGTCTTGTATTCCGTTCTTCCTGCGATTGTTTAGTTAGCCCCAGCTGCGTGCGCCGCAGATGTCGACCACAGTCCAATGAATGACGGTAACGGCTGCATGTGATCCTGGAGGACGACTGCCCTCCACTCCGGCTCCGGCTCCGGCTCCCGCGGCATCGAGTGTCTCCCGCGACTCTCCATCCCCATCCGCCATTTCCATGACCAAACTGCCTGGTGGATCCGCAACCGGCTGCTGGGGAATCCCGGCCAGGTCCTGGGGATTCCGGTTCCCCTGCTCCCTCGTCGTTTGGCAGGCCGCGTACAACAACTATGCGGTCACGTAGTACTCCCTCTGCCTCTTCTGGCACTTCTCCCGCGCGATGTAGCAGAGGGCGATCGTAATCAGGAGGACTATGGTCACGCCCATTCCGATGCTCACCCACATGATCTCCTCGTTGATGCCCACATAGGAGCGACCTTAAAAGAAAAAAGGAAATGGAAAGTGTTATTTTTTCATTTTTACTTAACGAGAAAAATGGTTAATTTACACCCTTATTCACTTTATATTTGTTTCTTGTTGAATGCAAATTGGTTTTTGCTCTTATCACTTGTTGTGCACTTGACTGCGTTTAATTTATTTGTGCGCTTTGAGCTGTCATCTTCAGGGGATTGTGATGATAGTTATTGGGATAATGGACAAAAAACAGTGATAAAGGGGTCTGACAACTCTAAAAATAGAACTCACCATTGTAGTAGTGATTGGAGTAGCCGGCTTTCCCAGCCACTCGACCCGCTGGCATTTTGCGAAAACTTCTGCCAACTAATAAATAAAAATGTGCGTTTCTTTTTTTGTTGTTTCTTTTTTTCGCTGCTTGGCTCGCTAGCCAGAAAAGTTTTACGAGCAATTTGTTGCTTTTGCAGCTATTTCGGTTATTTCAGCTTGTTTTCGTTTTCGTCTTCTTTTCGCTGCAGTTTGCTTGCCCTTGTTTAATTACAATTTATGGGCCCGCCAGCATTTCGCATTCATGAAGGTCCTTGATTGGCGCCAGTGGGATCTAAAAAAAAAAGCAGTGGAAGCAAATTGGGGAAACCATTAATTAAGCTTTTCGTGGGTTTCTATTGGCATTCAAATTTACGCGGTTAAAGCACGCGCTATGCAGCACTGCTCTTTATATTTCACAGCACTGGCAATGAAGAAGCAGCACCCAGCTGTAAAATTGTTTTTCTGACTTTGCTGCTTAACTTTGTGTGTTTATATCTTAAATTTAATTGTGATAAAGTGCGAAATGGATAATTTGGAGCACAAACAAGTGGAAAACACCAGCAAACTGATGGAAAAAATCGAAATTGACATAGAAAACAACAAAAGTGCCGGCATTTCGGCAGCGGAAGAAGACGAAGCTGTTCCCAATAAGAAGAAGAAGGTGGAAGGGAAAGACGATAGTGATAAGGGGAAAGACTGCACCAGCGAAAAAGAGATAGCTGATTTAAAAATGCAACAGCAAAATTGCCAGGATAAGAACACCTGTAGATGCGGTATATCCTTTTATTTTCGGTTTTTGCTTTTTCCATCCGCATCTCGCTTGCTCTTTGAATAATAAAAACGCGCACAAACCCTTTATGTTGGTATATGGGTTATCTCGAAAAGATAACGGTAAAAAGCTTGCCTTGAAAACTGCATATTTATTATTTGCGCTGGTAAGCAATTTTCATTCTACAAAGAAAAGTAGAGCATTCAATTTTTAAAGCTATCGTTAATTTTTGTAAACTCAAAAATTTGAACTTATCTTAAGATTACAGCTTTTTACGTACTTGCCTTAAAAGGATTGGAGCCATTTAAAATAACCCGCATACTCCATTGTGTCAATCTGGAAACGTTTATGCACTCCCCTTTCCCCACTCTTTCGCAATATCTGACCGAAGATAGTGTCCAGACATTTACCTCATTCGTATGCACCGCATGTTTCTGCCCAGAATCCATATCCTGGCATCCGTGATAGATTAAAGTTACGCCCAGGCACAAATTGCATGAAAACGCAACGCCCCACGCGCACTTTCCCTACCATTTCTGCCTCAGTTGCAAAAAGTTTTGCCCAAATACACCGAAAAAAATACAGCTAAGATATACAGTTTTCGTACAAAAATAATTGTTGTAATTTTTAAGAGTTGAACTGTTAAGTTGTTAGAAAATCTTATATACATATTTTTTTTAAATACATTTGAGTATAAATATTTTGTCGCAGTGCAATAGCAAACACAACAGGAAACGAAGCGTCCTTCCGTTTCCATTGCTGCACATTTTACAAACTGCAACTGCAATCGAAATGAGTGCGAAGGTCGCTTTTGACCAGGCCCACAGCCCAAAACCCGTTAGTAAAGTGGCTTTAACTCGGTTCTCGACTTGAATAATTCAGACCAAAAGATGCCAAACTCGAAATGGAATTTTCGGGGCTCACGTACTCAAATTGGGTAAAAAAGTTGGACATTTTTGGCAACCCAGCGATAAGGGCGATAACGAAATTATTTGTTTCCGCCTTTTTTAGAGGAAAAAAAAGGGGAAAACTTTAAAGCAAACTCACTGCGTGGTAATGAATATTAAGCGTTTGGCCATTATTTAACCGCACATTATGTGCAGTTGACGTTGCCGGGGGCTGCTTTGGCTAATTGAAAAGCGCCAACTGCAGCAGCCATGGGTTAATTTCACCCCATTTATCCCCCAAAGCCAACCGCCGACCGCATTCACTCTGATTAACTGGGAGCTCTAGGGTGTTTATGGACTGGCTTTCCCTCCTCTGGTTAACTGCAGCACAAGCTCATTCAGATTGCTATTTTCTCCTCAGTCTTCTGCCATCGGGAAATTCTGGCTTTCAATATTTGTACACGTTCTGATTATGGCTTAATTAGGAAACCTGCTGCGTCTGCAATTTATTTATTTCTATATGATTTTATTGAATACTTAGGAATTTAGTAATTAGTATAAGTATTTATGTACACAGCCCATTTGATTGCATTATGTGCGTTGCATTACTATCGAATTTAAGTAGAAATTTGCACAACAGCTGCAATAGCGTGTAATCGCTCTTAAATTTATCTGGCGGAAATAAACCCAGTTTGAGAGCTTGACCGTGACACATTCAGTGGGTTAAGTGCCGCGAGCGAAAATTGAAAAACTTGAAGTGTTCATTCGGAAAATTTATACGAGACTCTTTAATGACACTAAAATATGCATGAATAACTCCAAACATATCTAGTATCAATTAAAATATTGAGCGTTTCCCTAACAAAATATGTTGACCTCCTTTAATATGACAAAACAAATTTTTATATAAAATTCAGAATTGACAAGCGAAATGGCCAAAACTTAATTTGTCATCTAAAAAGGAACACATAAATCATAAAGCTTCTTCAATATAAAAGCAATAGAGCAGAATATTTTTCCTTGTGTGGTTCAGCCTTAAGCTTTTTTTCAAATTGCAACTTGATTGCGGATGCTGCGCAAATTCTCGATATAAAAACTCAATGTAAATAGCTTTAGAAATACTCCTTTAGTTCGTTCACATCACACATTCAGAAGTTCTCATTTTAAACTTAACCCTCGAACTGTTCGCATTAGCGGGAAAATCTCAAAATATTAATATGTCTGGACGGCGTCGTCTTTATATATCCCCCTCCCTTGCAGCACAACTGGAGGCGGAGGCCATCAAGGACAATAGCCAGCTGTGGGAGTTTCGAGTGCGCAGCAAGGACATCGACTGGCGAAACTTTGTCCAGCCGCTGGACACCAGAGTTCGATCCGATGCGGTCTACTTGGAGCGCCAGGTGGACTTTGTGGGCAGCCAACGGCGTCCCGTGACGGAGAATAATCGCAGGGAGCTGCTCGTTTGCCACGATATGATGGGCAATTACCTCGAGGATCGGTGAGATTTCACACTGGAGAGCTATTAGAAAATAGGGAATGCTTAGTTATATAAAAAAGAAGAAGAATAACTCTCTATAATAGAAGTGACAAACAATTTAGATAACATAATGTATAATTAACTCAAATTGAAGCAACTTAAAGAAAACTTTCCTAATTAATTTATAAATTACATTGTTTTCCAATCAATGTGGGACGAACTTTCGCAAGTTTTAATTGTTTTTAATTTTTTTAAAAGGCACTTTCACAGTTCGGAAAAGTACGACGACTATCGATTCGTGCATTGGTCAGCCGTGGATTACTTCTGCTACTTCAGTCACGAATACGTGACCATTCCGCCCAGCGGATGGCTCAATGCCGCCCATCGACACGGAGTTCCGGTGGTGGGCACGTTCATTGTGGAGGGAGAGGGACGACTTGATGAGGTCCTGGCCACAGAGGAAAGTGTTAGCAGGACCGTCGAGGCCCTAACCCGCCTGTGCGGGCACTTCGGATTCGAAGGATGGCTGGTCAACGTGGAGGTGAAGGTGCCCCAGCGCAACATGCCCAATCTTTAGTGAGTACCATATCAACACTTCATCAGAATCGGTCTACCTGTCATGCTTTGAAATTTAAACACAAGTTGTGCCAGTCAGTAAACTGGGCAGCTAACCAATTTCCTTCATCTTTCTTGCAACCCACTTGGTTGCAAGAGCAAACTTTAGTCTCATATCAGCTGTCCAATTTATCAACAGCTTTTCCAATTCCATCGATCATTAGCTTTCAAAAGCCAAACTGGCTTTTCACACCACATGGCGTTTGACATTTTGCACTTTGTACAAGTCAATGGAACAAATGAGCTAACTTACACAAAGGCAAAGGACTCTTGTGCTTCAAAATTCAATCACTTTAATACGGCAACCCTCCTGCTTATTAGTATTTTTATACCCTTGCAAAGCAAAGGGTATTATAATTTTGGCCAGAAGTTTGCAACGCAGTGAAGGAGACACCTCAGACCCCATAAAGTATATATATTCTTGATCAGCATCACGATCTGAGTCGAAATACGTCTGTACGTCTGTCCGTCTGTCCGTCTGTCCGTCTGTCCGTCTGTCCGTCTGTCTGTCTGTCCGTCTGTCCGTCTGTCCTCCTGTCCGTTTCTGCCTAAACTAGTCTCTCAGTTTTAAAGCTATCTTGCTGAAACTTTCCCAAAAGATGTGTAGTTATTGCACGCAGTATATAAGTCGGAACGAGCCGGATCGGCCGACTATATCGGATAGCTCCCATACAAGAGGTCAAAAAAATAAAGGATAAAAAATTATTACTCCGTTGTTTTTGATCAGATCGACTTGAATTCTTCAAGATGGCGTTTTCTAACGGTTATTAAATTTCGGATTAAATTTTATCAAAATCGAATAACCCTATCATATAGCTGCCATAGGAAAGATCAAAAAATATATATAGAAATAATGGCAAAATAATCATAACGTTGTTGTTTTTTATTCCACGAGCATGATTTTTACAACATCGACTTTATGAACTACCCTTGACCCGAGAAAAAAATTTCATCAAAATCGGACGACTATATCATATAGCTGCCATATGAACAATAGTCGAAAATATGGAAAATTAATAGAAAAGTCGTCATAGCTTCGATGTTGTTAGCCTTTATGTATTTTGTTCGATATGTTTGATGACTGCAAGGGTATATAAGCTTCGGCTTGCCGAAGCTAGCTTCCTTTCTTGTTATTTATTTATTAGATCCCCTTCGCCCTATCTATTAATCCTCATGTGTTTGAATGTCTTTTTAGCCGCTTTGTCCAGGAACTGACCTCCGCCACGGAATCACGTGTGCCCCATGGACGCGTCTTTTGGTACGACAGCGTTACGGAGAGCGGCCAACTGCTGTGGCAGAACGAGTTGAACTCCCGCAACGTGGAGTTCTTCCGGCGCAGCCATGGAACACTGATTAACTACGCCTGGGACGATGGACACTTGGAGCGCAGTGCCCAGCAGGCGAAGAAGGAGCAGTCGCCGCTGCATCGCGTTTTCATGGGATTGGATGTCTTCGGACGGAGTCGGAAGGGCGGATTCCAAAGTCTGGAGAGCATGCAACGCATTGCGGACGAGGGCTTCTCGGCTGGCATCTTTGCACCCGGCTGGTCCTTCGAGACCCTCAATCGATTTGGGTACAACATCAAGAATCCACAAGGCGAAGGGCAGGTGAACTCGGCCTTCTTGGCCAGAAACGAGTCGTGGTGGGCTCGCATTTGGCCCACTTTGGCCACGCATCCCTACAGTTCGCTGCCCTTTTTCACGGACTTTTGCGTAGGTTCCGGTCGAAAGAGTTACGATCGGGGATTGGTTGCTTCTGGCGAGGATCGACCCTTTTTCAATCTGTCGCGACAATCGCTGCAGCCTTCGGTGCCGCTGGACAGGAATGCAGTTCACCACTTCGAGGAGGCCTTCTCGGGTGGCTGTTCGCTTTTGGTGACCAACTACGAGCGAGCTTTCCGTCTCTTCGTCACGAATTTTGATCTACAACTGGGAGTTTTGCTCGTTGGGTTTGCCTATAAAATTATTGGTGATGCCACTGGCACCGACTTTGATTTGCTGGTGCGAGTGACGCCGCAGAAAAATAATAATTCAGAGTTTTATCTATTTTGCGGTGACTATAGTGGCTATGTTGAGGCTCCACAACGGGGTTATCTTTCACCTCTTACCGAGTTGTTGCCCCGCGCTCATGTTAAGCTGCCACGGGATTCCAGAAATCTGGGAGCAGGATGGCAAGTGCGTTACTACCTGGCCAAGTTCGATGGACCCGTCAGAGTCCAGGACATTGGAGTAAAGTGCCGGCGGCCAGCGGAATCGAAGGCTGAGGCTCAGCTGGGAGCTGTTTATGTGGAGGCTTTGCCTCTAGAGAATTTGACGCACGCACGGACAGAAATTCCTCTCTACGGAAGAAACTTGTGGATGGAGCAACGCGCTTGAATCTACAAATTAATAAAAAAAAAACTTTTTTTTCATTTGTATAAATGTACATACTGCATTAAATATTAATTTCTAATAAAGCAGCTGTGTTTTAACTTTCATTAAAACCCTTTAAAATGTTTAATATGTTTTAAATTTATCTGATACCTTGAATATTTTTCTTATCTAGAGGAGAAACATTTAAATCATCCTTTATCATTCCGTTCGGCTTATTCCATTATTTGCTGTGGCCTCTGCAGTTGGCAGTCATTTATCAAGGCCCATCCTTTCATTTGTGACGAACTCTGGCGGGTGACTCACGCATCCTGGACCTCCTTTGGCCCGGCTTTTTTCCAAAAATTGACTTGAACCGTTTAGTCACCGCTCCTGGCACTTGGCCACATCATTCAACTACACTTCACTTCACTTGGCTCCGCACCAGTGGCCCTCAAACTGCGTTGGCTGGCTGCCAAGCCGTCTGGCCTTTAAAACGTGACTTTGAAACTGCGTTTGGACAACTTTGCATTCAGAGGATTTTAATAATATTTTTTGAAGGCACTTAAATATTTTAAGTATTTCATTTACAGTTAAAATTCCTGACAAAATTCCAGGCGCAAATATGTTAATCGTTTAAATTGGAGTGATTAAAAATGAATTGCGTGTGATTTACAGCCTGCATTTGCTCATTATGCACAATTTGTTTTTTATTTACCATCCTGATTCACAATTAATCATACCAATTAGCATGGTTTTTGGTTCATGGCATGGCATTTAAAAATGCATAATTATTGTTTGAAACTGTAAATAAATACAGCACCAAGCTTAGTGTGGACATTATGTTTAAATTGAAATTTATATTTATTTCGCAGGAGTTCGGGACCAACTGACCGAAAAATTAGCATTTAAATTTGCTGTAATTTGAGGTCTAACACCTTGGAGCACCCCATTTGAATCCCCTTTTCTCACCGCACCTCTTAACCTTGGCTGGCAATTTTTTGACATTTTTAATGCAGATTTTCAGACAGCACACACACACACACACACACAAAAGTCTGTTGACATCATTTCTGTTTGCATGACAGCATCTGCAATCCCCGACTTTTTCCCCAGTTTTATGCCATTTTATTTGTTTAGTTCTACGCTTTCTGTTTGACTTTGGCTATGGCCTTCCTCTTCAGCGAGGCTGCTTTGAATTCCCGGGCTTTTTGGGGGCGCCGAAGCGGAAGTTAAAAAAATGGGGGGCATTTCCGGCTGAGCGGGGTGCTAAGTCATCTTGCCTGCTCCCTTTCATTGCAAGCATTAACCCCATCCCCTGCTTCATTTATCCCATCCCCCTCGCTGGCTGTCAGCTTTTTGCGGAATTTATGTTCCACTGTCGCAATTAACAACGCCCTCTGTTACGCCCACCACCCCCGCGGGCCAACTCCCATGACAGCGGGACAAAACCCTGCTGCCGACCGCATTTCACAGTGATTAACGTCATCAACCAGAATGCATTGATTTGGCTGCAAAGTTTGCTGTTAGAAATATGATGCGAAATGGGAGAAAATAGAGTCCAGCAAATCAGGCAAATTGAGAAAAAAGCACTTTAAAAATATGGTGTTGGGTTTTAACGTTCAAAATTGACTTAAAGCTAGGATTAAATAACTACTTCTTTTATTTTATTAACTTATTTTAAAAACATAAAGTTTTAAATATTTACATATTATGATTATGTTCTTATATGTAAGACCTTATTAGCCCAAAAATGTTTTCCTTTCGGTGCATTTCAAAAGCCCACTCAGCCAAGCCCCCAAAAAATTTCCGCTTCCTTTTCAATTCCCCCAAGTGGTCAGAGGGGCTCATATTTAAGCAATTTATTGCAACACAAGCCGGCAAAAAAATGGGCGGAACCCCAAACAAGCTAAGGGGCATGACCTAGATACCGATTTTTGGCAGGAGAATTCCGGGACAGGTGGCACAGCTGCCCTTTAATGTGGAATTTTGGGTTGGCATTTTATGCATTTAAATGGAAATGTATATGTAAATTTAAATGGAAATTGAAATTGAATATGCCGGCAGGACGAGATGTGAATGTATCTGTCAGCCATTGTAACTCGAAAATGCAATTTGCAGTTGCCCGAGGTCTTCTGCTTTTTGCCCTCTGATTTAACCAGAATTGCAAATGAGTTGGAATAAAAGATCATCAATGGTGCTGAAATACGCAGGCTTACTAGATTTCTGCACAATTGAGTTTTCGCATTTAGTTTATAAAAAATATATTCTTGTGCAATATTATTATTATATATTCCCAAATGTGATTTTTTAATTTAACAAGTTTATTACATTTAAATATTTATACAGTTTTAAATGAATTTCGGTTTCTGTGGCTCTTTGCAACAGCCCTTATAAAATCGAGCAGAAAGGCATGAGCAAACACTTAACCCTTCATGAAATAATAATATATCCCTTATTGCCAGTTGTGTTTGCCTTTCGCCTGAGGAAAAATTCGAAAAGGAGAGTCTCGCCTCGGCCATTTCCACTTCATTTGGCCAACAATTTAAGTCATACAGCCAGTTTTCTCGGTGACACGTTTCAGCCTAATTGCCGTCTCCGGTTGCAGATTGGAGGATATGGAATTGTCGCCAGGGAAAATCAAATTAAAGGCGACTGTGTGGCGATATTCCACTTTAAATTACCTTCACGCACACCAGCTGCCCCGCCTTCCACATTCATAGTGGGCGTGAAGCCCTTCATTCACACACGTTAATGAGTTCTCTGATTTTCTCGGCTGCCGCATCAGCATAAATTAAAGCCTACTTTGGGGCGTGGCTTTAATTACACCCACCGCCCAACGGCAAAGTGATCGAAACCGCAGCCACCACCCACCAAAAAACCCACTCGGTTCGCCCTTCAAACTCATCAAATTCCAATAATAATAGATAATAGAAAAGTGGAAAAAAAGTGGGACAAAGGGGTATTCCCTTAAGATAATTAATGCGGCATATGTTAGAGACAAATGGTTTCTGTAATAAAATTCTCTAACTTCCACAATTTATTTATCTTGAATGTCAGATTTTTTCTTCCAGGATGCTGAGCTCAACACATAAACCACAAACCCTTCTGGCTGCAAACCCATCAGCCCAAACAATCGTTGCTAAACTTGCTCCTGGCTTCAGTTAATGGCATTCAACTTGGCCACAACGCCTTTCGGCTCAACAGAGTTCGGGTGAAATTGTTTTTCTGTTTTTGGCCTCTAACTTTTGCTCTTTTTTGAGCCATGCATCAAGTTTTGGACAGAATGCGGAATATATGTGCATTTATTGCGATGTGCGCCAGCATGCTCTTCAATATTCATTAGGCACCACTGATTAAAGGCCGCAGATCCATTTCAATCGATGATGGCAGAACAAGTAATAGATTTCCGCTGTGGCCACAAATCCACTGGCGAAATGATTGGGAAATTGGGTGAAAATGCGATTTAATGTAGGCCCGGTCGTCTTTTTGCCCTTTTCATCCGTTTTCGCAGGCAACTGAGCGTCAAATCCTTGAGGCCTGAGCTCTTTTTTCCCATCCCAGAATGTGTGTGCGTGTGTTTAGCTCTCGCGGCGCCCCATAACTTTTCCACATGGCCAACACAAAATAAACAAACAAAACAGCAGGCGACCAGAACATTTTTCGGCCCTGTATTTGGTTTTCTCAGCTTCCGTCCCCTTTTAAGCTCTTCTGCCTTTGCTGAACAGTGGAAAACCAGAGGAATATGTGCTTAAATGCATTTGTGGCTGGCTTAGATCTCGACGTACTTTTTAATGAAAACAGACCATTAGAAACGTTGGAATGTGCTTGTGAACTAAATTAATGTATGTAACAAAGAGATTTTGTAATCTTTTTGGGAGCATTAAATAAATACAAATAAATTGCACAAAGCTAATAGCTTTCATAACACTCAGGAGCGAATCCACCAATATGCTTCAGAATATCGAAAAGGATTTCTTAAGGATTTCCCCGTACATGAGAACTCATTTCTCTTGTTTGTCGTCGCCGCCGCTTTGGCTAAACATTCATTACTTCGCTCTGGGTGTGAAGACCATCTATCCATCGCAGGCATCCTGCATATCCGTGTCCTCCGGATCTGCCGGCTATATCGGGTATTGAGCAGTATATTTTGCTGACGCTGAACAATTGTTTGCGCTTTCGCATTCCACTCGGCAATCAGTTAGGCAAACAGCAGCCGTCGAAGGACGAAGGAGGCAGGACTTAGGGGTTATTATGGCTGGGCAAACAGTTGGAAAATGCAACAGGCATAGCACCTTGCACTTTGAAGACATTGTGATTGTGTTTGCTTAGGGGTAAATTAAAGTTCTAGAAAAACATGTTTTAAGCCCATTAATGTTTAGAATCCAAAGCAGTTGCGCTTTGAGTTTTAACGCTTCAAGTTAATTCCAACATGTCAAATGAAGCTAGCTTCCCTTCTTGTTCTAAATAAAGTTGTTCCCAGTTAGTCTTAAGCTCCTGCCAATAGATAATATTCGCATTTCCAGTTCAACACGACGCAGCTCAGCGTCACTCAATAACATGTCATTTATCTGGCTGACAAAGGGTCTTAACTGCAATGGCATTCACTCTCACATCACCTCATACCCTCCTTTCACCCAAGAATCAACGACTTTTGCGTCAAAAATTTCCTTTCACTCCTCAACCGTCTGGCGTTTTTGGTCCCGTTTTATTAATTTTCTTACTGGGTTACCAAATACACTGACCCAACTTAAAAGAAATTGCAACAGGAGGGCGGAAAATGTACCGACCCCATAATATAAATACATATATTCTTTTTTATTGTCTATTACTCGTTTTTTATAGCAGGAAAACCAAGTTAAAGGAACCCATCTTGCATTTTTAATGCGTTTTGTGCCAACCATTTCTTAATTTTTAATGGCCTCATCAATTAGTTCAACCGGGTACAAACTTGGTAAGGCTGGCGCTTGTTGGCCAAAGTGATTTGCAGGATGTCGTTGTCGCACAGTTTTAGCAGCACTTTGACGTCACTTGCTGTCCTTGTTGTTTGGCTATAAAAAGAAAACATCATCGGGCCAAGTTTTGTCAGCGCGAAAATGATGTGAAGTTTCCTTCACGCGGCCCACTCGCTTTTCCTCA